GAGGCTGGCCAACAACTTTACTTAAGAGCACAAAGGAGGTTTAGAAGCTAGTTTTTAAAGAATTTTGAAATTTCACTACCTTTAGTTTTTTAAATATAACTCTGCTTAGAGAGAAGCGAGAGTTATAAAACTAGGCTACTTAGGTGTAAAACTATATGTAGAGCAAGTTTACTTAAGAGCACTTGCTTGGTTTAATTAATAAAATTTTGAGAAAATTTGGTTTTATTGAAAAATTTTTTTGGAAAAATTTAGTACAAAAGATCTACAGATTAAGTGCTTTTGATATGATATATCTTTTGATATTATTAATAATTCTTTTATGCAAAATTTATTTATGCAACTTAATTCTGCATATCATCTATTTGAATATACAACATTATCTAGTTGAATTCTTGAAGAAGAAATAATAAAAGTTAATAAAGTAATTTTTATGATTTTTGAAAAAAATAAAAATTTAACTTTAAGTAAGTAGAATAATTAATAGGTTATTTTATAAAATTAAATATATTTATTAGTTTATTTTGTTAGCTTTAGATAGGTAGTATTCTCCTCAAGATTTATCAATATATAATTATATTATTATTATAGTTGATTATAAAGAATATCTTATTGCATTAAAAGATTATTCTAACTATTCAAATACAGGTGAATTTTTAGCTTCTGAAATAAATACAATAATAACTTCAATTAGTCTTGAAAAATTTGCTGCAATTGTATCAGATTCTGGAAGAAATTGTAGAGTTGTATAAAAAATAATAAATTATGATTATTTACATATTTTAGATATTCAATGCATTGCATATTTGATTAATCTAATTTTAGAAGATTTTACCAAAATTGATTAAGTTAAAATACTTATAGAAACTTGTGGATATATAACAAAATTGTTTAATAAATTATATATACTAAATTAGTTAATTGAAGATAGAATTTGAGCAATGAAAATTAAAGGAAGTAGATTATAAATCTATATAAAAACAAGATGATGCTCTTTATAGAATATGACTGATTCACTATTATATTTAAAATCTGTATTTAATTAGATAATTTAATATCTAATATTAATATTATATAATCAGAAAGTTTCAAAAGTATTAACTAATAAGGTATAATATTAAACAATATACTATATTAGTTAATGCTTTCAAAATTTTCTAATAAAATAATTAAGGCTATACAAACTTAATAAATCAGTTTTCATAACATAAAATTTTCAAAAGTGACTTAGCAACCTAGCTTTTAATTTTATTTTAAAAAAAATTTATATATAAAAAACATATAAAATTTTTTATAGATTTTTTAAAAAAACTCACCTAGATAGTAAGTATACTTGAAATTTTTTTTAGAATTTTGTAAATTTTGACCCAACTAGGTTATAAAAACCAATTAATTAAGTTTGTATGGCCTAATTAATATTAATATATAATTATAATAAAATAATATTATTTCCAAATTATTAGATTTAAACAAATTATCAAAATTATTTAACAAATGATTTTATCAATATAATTAATAATAATAACTTTTTTATAAATTGATATTATATTAATCAAATAATGCAACTAATAAAAATATGTATTAATAAACTTGAAGCCTAAACTGCAATATTAGCAGACTGTTTTATTAATATCTTAAAATTAGCTGCAATAATTTATCAACTTCCAGAAGTAAATTCATTTAAATTACAAATAGTAAAAATTTATAATATTTGATATGAAGAATTTAATTATGAAACATATCTTTTAAGTTATTATTTGTATTTATCATATTGTGGTAAGTAAGTTTAGTTTATAGAAGTTATATATATTATAATAATATAATAAGATATTAATTATTAGATTATAGTCTTAAAAATAAAATATTTCACTTAGCATGTCTTATAGCTAGTAATTATTGAAAAGCTCTTGGATATGATCAAGCCGAATGCATTGATTTATTAGTTGAATTTCAAAAATATATTTATTATTAAGATCTTTATAATATAGAATTTGATTTTCAAAAAGACACTTTACTTATATAGTAGTTAACACTAATATAAATTATTACACAAGTCTAGAAGATTTAGCTGTTAAAATGTTTTCAATAATGCTATCTGAAATAGCATATAAGTAGAATTTCTCTATTTTAAAATAGTTTTATGGAGATCAAAGAAATTAACTTATAATTAAGCATATTGAATCTATGACCAAATTGAGAATGTATTGGCTTTCAGAAATTTGAAAAGAACTAAAGTATTATGAAAAAGATTTAACAGAAGAAAAATTACAAACATGTGCTAATATGATGACAGCTTCGATTGATCTATCTTTAGAAACAGATATATTTAACACAAATAACATATTTGATAGTAACAAGTCTTATATTCTATATCAAAATACTCTCTCTTCTGTTTTTAATTCAGCGAATTCTAATATATTTATAGCTTCTGAAACAAAACTTAACATTGAAGATATAGCAGATCTTACATTACTTTTGTTTAATTTTAATAACACAGAATTATATTATAAAAATTTGAAACTACAATCTAAACTAGTATTAAGCAAAAGTTATAGAAATATAGACTTCAAAATATTGAATATTGTTGACAAAGTCTTAGGGATTGAAACTGATAATAATTAGTTTTAAAAAACTATACAATAAATATCAATTGTATTAATTAAATTATGCTCAATATAACTTATTAATAAAATATAACTGTATTATACATGATAATATTATTTCTTAGTTTTATCATATAATATAAAGTTTATCAGTTTATACTTTAATAGTTTTTACTGAGCTTCAAAAATATAAATAGTATAAACCTATTATGTAACTAGTTTATACTTTTATCAAGTTTAATAAAAAGTATTGTCAGCATCACTATTTTATACCTTAGCAAAAATTTTAAGAATATGCAAAGGAATTAAGAAATTACTATATTTGATTATCTACATATCATATGATAGCAACTATAATAGATTAAAAAAAAATGAATGAAAAATAGAAACAAATGAAACAATACTAAAACAACAACCAAAATCTACTAAACTTCCTCTAACCTATGACTGGATTGCA